CCATCATTCTCAGCAAACTGACAGAAAAGCAGAAGATCAAACACTGCATGTTCTCACTCATAGGCGGGTGTTGAACAATGAGAACACATGGACACAGGGAGGGGAGCACTACACACTGGGGTCAGTTGGGGGGAAATAGGGGAGGGATGGTGGGGGGTGGGGAGCTGGGGAGAGATAGCAAGGGGAGAAATTCCAGATGTAGGTGATGGGGAGGAAGGCAGCAAATCACACTGCCACGTGTGTACCTATGCAACAATTTTGCATGTTCTTCACATGTACCCCAAAACCTAAAATGCAATAAAATAAATAAATGGGAAAAGAAAAAGTACACTCTGTTTGGAGTGATTTAATATAATAATAATCATTTTGTGTTAATGAAGTAGCACACAGTCATCTGTTTTAGTATGAAAATAAATTTTCATTTAATCTCAAAAAAAAAAATTAAAATAGAACTACCATATGATCCAGCAATCCCACTACTTGGTAGAATACCGCCCCCCAAAAAGTGAAATCATTATGTCAAAGAGATATCTGCACTCCCATATTCACTGCAGCATTATTCACAATAACCAAGCTATGGAATCAACTTAAGCGTCCATCAAAAGATAAATGGATAAAGAAAATGTGGTGTATATATACACAACGGAATACTATTCACCCTCAAAAAAGGAGGAAATCCTGTCATTTGTGAAAAAAAAAAGTATGAACCTGAATAACATCATATTAAGTGAAATAAGTCAGGCACAAAAAAATGAACACCACATGATCTCATATGTGAAATGTAAAAAAGTTGACCTCATAGAAGTAAAGTAGAATGATCATAAAAGCAAAGTAGAATGGTGGTTACCAGGGACTTAGGAGTGGGGGAGATTAAGGAGATGGTGAAAGAATACAGAACTTCGGTGGAGTAGAATAAACAAGTTCAAGAGATCTATTGTACAACATGGTGACTGTAGATCATAACAATGTATTCTATTCTTTTTTTTTTTGAGGCGGAGTCTCGCTCTGTTGCCAGGATGGAGTGCAGTGGCGCGATCTCGGCTTACTGCAACCTCTGCCTCCCGGGATCAAGCAGTTCTCCTGCCTCAACCTGCCAAGTAGCTGGGATTACAGACGTGCGCCAACATGCCCAGCTAATTTTTGTACTTGTATTAGAGACAGGGTTTCACCATGCTGGCAGGATGGTCTTATCTCCTGACCTTGTGATCTCCCTGCCTGAGCCTCCCAAAGTGCCGGGATTACAGGCGTGCGCCACTGCTCCTGGCCCAATGTATTCTATTCTCAAAAAATCACTGAGAGTTTAAGTGTTCTCACCACACATACACACAAAAAAGGTAAGTATGTAAGGTAGGGTTGGCTGTCATGGCTCATGCCTGTAATCCTAGCACTTTGGGAGGCTGAAGCAGGAGGATTGGTTGAGCCCAGGAGTTTGAGACCAGCCTGGGCAACATAGTGAGACTCCATCTCTACAAAAAATAAAAGAGATGAGGTAGAGGATCATTTGAGCCTGAGAGGTCAAGGCTGCAATGAGCCATGATCACTCCATTGCAATTCCACTTGGGTTACAGAGTAAGACCTTGCTTCAAAAAAAAAAAAAAAAAAAGGTTATGAGGTAATGTATACGTTAATTGTAAACATCTTTAAAACACCATGTTGTTCATAATCTATCTATCTATATATATATACATAATTTTTATTTGCTGATTAAAAAAATAAGTTTTTTAAAAAGACAACTTATATCCAGAATATATAAAGAACTGTCAAAAATCAATAATAAAACAAAGTACCCTATCTTAAACTGGGAAAAAGATTTATACAAACACTCCACCAAAGAAGATACATGGATATTAAATGTTAGACATTATGGAAATGCTTAATGCCACAATAAAACACTATTGCCCACTATCAGAATGGCTAAGTTTTTGTTCTTTATTTTTTTTAAAGTTCCAGAATACATGTGCAGAATGTGCAAGTTTATTACATAGGCATACGTGTACGATGGTGGTTTGCTGCACCTATCAACCAACCCATCACCTGGGTTTTAAGCCCCGCATGCATTAGCTATTTGTCCTGATGTTCTCCCTCCCCTCCCCATGCCCACAGGGCCCCAGTGTGTGTTTTTCCCCTCCTTGTTGTGTTCATGTGTTCTCATTGTTCAACTTCCACTTAGGACTGAGACCATGAGGTGTTTGGTTTTCTGTTCCTATATTAGTTTGCTGAGGATGATGGCTTCCAGCTTCACCCATGTCCCTGTAAAAGATATGATCTCATTTCTTTTATGGCTGCATAGTATTCTATGGGAGACATATATATCTTCCACATATATATATGTGTCACATTTTCTTTATCCAATCTATCACTGATGGGCATTTGGGTTGGTTCCATGTCTTTGCTATTTTGAATAGTGCTGCAATGAACATACATGTGCATGTATCTTTATAACAGAATGATTTATATTCCTTTGGGTATACACCCAGTAATGGGATAGCTGGGTCAAATGGTATTTCTGGTTCCAGATATTTGAGGAATCATCACACTGTCTTCCACAATGGTTGAACTAATTTACATTCCCACCAACAGTGCAAAAGCATTCCTATGTCTCCACAGCCTTGCTAGCATCTGTTGTTTCCTGACTTTTTAATAATCTCCCAGAATGGCTAAATTTTTTTTAAGTGGACAATTTCAAGTGCTGATGAGAATGTAGATCAGCTAGAACTCTTAAACATAGCTGGTTCACATGTGAAATTGTATAGCCACTTTAGAAAACAGTTTTGCAGTTTCTAATAGAGTTAAACATATATTTTCCATATAAGTCCACAATCCTACTCCTAGTTATTTACCCTAAAGAAGTAAAATATTATCATCAAATTATCTGGGCATGGTGGTGTGCACCTGTAGTCCCAGCTACTCAGGAGGCTGAGGCAGGAGAATCGCTTGAACCCAGGAGGTGGAGATTGCAGTGAGCTGAGATCATGCCACTGCACTCCAGCCTGGGTGACACAGTGAGATCCAATCTCAAAAGAATATTATCACACAAATTATGTAAAGAGATGTTTTATAGCACCTTTATTTACAATCATCAAAACTGAAAACTTGGAACTTGTCTCAGAGGTGAAAAAAAACCCGAAAACCATCCAAATATCCTTCAACTGGTAAATGAATTTTTCCATACTGTGGTATTTCCAAACTATGGAATGCCACACAGCAATAAAAAAGAAAAAACTGTGGATACACACAATATAGGTGAGTTTCAAATGCATTAAGCTAAGTGAAAGAAGTCAGGTTCAAAAAGCTTCGTACTGTATGATTTCATTTATATGACATTCTGGAAAAGACAAACTATAGAGATAGAAGGTATCACTGATTTCCAGGGCTGAAAGTGGTGAGGAGTGACAGTAAAGGGGCCTGAGGTATTTTTTTTTCTACATTGTGGTGATAGTTATATGACTGTATGCACTTATTAAAACTCATAGAATTTTTAACATATATAAACCTCATAGGACCATATACCAGCAAGAGTAGATTATATGTATCTTCAATATACATGACTTTAAAAAAATGGTCACAGATAACTGGAGAAGAAATAAAAGGGTTGATCTGATGCTGTATTTAAAAAGTAAAATAATTTTTTAAAACTAATGTTCAAACAAAAGATTTAACAGGGAATTTAATACTATTTTTGCCTCTTTTTTTTTTTTTTTTTTTTGAGACAGAGTCTCGTTCTGTCGCCAGGCTGGATGGAGTACAGTGGTGCAATCTCGGCTAAATGCAACCTCCACCTCCTGGGTTCAACGGATTCTCCCGCCTCAGTCTCCTGAGTAGCTGGGATTACAGACGCGTGCCACCACGTCCAGCTATTTTTTGTATTTTTAATAGAGACAGGGTTTTACCATGTTGGCCACGATTGTCTCAATCTCTTGACCTCATAATCTGCCTGCCCTGGCTTCCCAAAGTGTTGGGATTACAGGCGTGAGCCACCGTGCCCAACGTATTTTTGGCATTTTTACTGGCAAAATACTTTAAGTTCTTTTATCCTTAAACATGGTATATCAAGTAAAACAAATGCCTACAAGCCTCTAATGAAAACTTTGGTGATGAACATGACAGCAATATTAACCTCTAATTTACTATTCCTTAATTATTATAGATATACTTTACTATTCTGGAATATTTCTTTTTTAATGTAAAATAAATGATCCTTTTTCTTATGGAGTGAATAATAGAGTCCCTTGTACCTAGTAGGTGTCCATAAACAGTTGCTTAATTGCATTCTATGCATTTTGTTTGGATTCATTAATTTAAATTTCTTAATTTATGCCAAACAAACAGCAAACAGTCTGGAGCTCAGAATGCCTCAGGATTAGTTCAGCTACCCTGAGGGCTGAGGGCTGAAGGCATTCATATCTGAGCAAAGGCATATCTATAACCAATTCAACATACATGTGCCTGTGCAAACACACCAGCTAGGAAACCATGCTTAACATAATGGAAAGGCCTCAACATTAATGGGATGAGGGCTACATGTAAAATTCCAACACTGTCCACTCTGTGGAGATAAACTCCATTTCAAGGCCAAATCTCTCATCAATCTCCTCCCAAGTAAGTGAAAAAAATCAAAAGGTACCCCAATTTTCATTTTTTGAAGACAATTCTTAACTGATATGAGTTTTTAATATCTAACACACAGCTTTGTAAATTTAATTTTTGAATAGGTTGGTTTAAATAATAGTAAAAAAAGTACATAGTGATAAGACTTTCCCCAATTCTTGTCCCATGTTTGCCCAGTTCCTTTTCCCTCGATAGGTAACCACTGTTCTTTTACTTTTATATAACCTTCCACCGTTTCTTTTTGCATGGTTGTATCATCTTCACATAGGAAAGATAGAACATACATTCAAATATATTGTCTTAAAAACAATGTTCTTTTCCCATTGTGTTTGAAGAGGATTATTTATGCTTTGTGTTACTAGTCAAATATATATCACAAATAAAATTTATACCTCTTTCAGAGTTGCCCTCCATGACTGCAATCTTGAATACATAAAATTGAGTGAAAATGTTTCGAGGATCATGTCGTTCAGCTTCTGCCACTGCCTCTTTGGCCTGAAAAGAAAACATTGGGTCCTTTTAATAAAATCTACAAGGAAGGACTTACCATATTTTACTAATATCATTAAGGTAATCAAAATGGCTGAGGGATACTCACAATGAAAATATATAAATCTAAGAAAAATATTTGCTGAACTGCTCTTCTAGAATGCTAAAGTAACTATGAGTTCTACTTCTGGAAATAGAGTGAGTTAGATATGTCAGACTCACCCTCTTGCTGAAAGCAACCAAAACTGTTGGATGAAATATTAACTTTTTTTCCAGAAAGAATAAGAGCAACTGACAAGATAGTAAAAGAATTACCAAGGCAAAATCTAAGGAAAAGTGAGGTCTCAGAGAGGTAAGCAGAAAAGGAAAGTCACTTTTACCTGGTAAGCATTTGCAAATGTAAGCAAATGTTAACTTGAGTTTTGAGGAACATCACTAGGTAAGGGAACAGACATCAAGTTCCAAGGGATCACACTCCTAGACTAGGGACAAGTCAAAAGTAAACCCGCTCCTACTTACATCCCCAGGGGACGGCAAATAAAGTTACCTTGGTGCTGAATAGAAGGCAGCACAATGGGATGGAGGGAAACAATCCCTGAGGTGTAATACTAGGAGACAAATGTATTTACTGCCCCAAACTATGTTATACAGGAAGCTAAAAGACCTAAACCTGAAAATTTAGTTTAGATAGCTCCCGAACATCTACAGAAGCAAATGTAAATCTTCTCTGGAGGAAAGCACCTTCATCTTAGCCTTTGAAATACTTCCATAAATAATTTTTCTAGAACCAAGAGTTGTACACGTTAAAAAAAATAACAAAGCACACTTGGAAACCAGGTACCATAAACAGCAGAAACAAGAGATAGCAGAAGCAGACCCTTAAGATGCAGATACTAGAATTATGAAACACTGGTTATAAAACAACTACACTTTCAAAATCTAAAGAAATATAATGTATGCTCAAAATATATGTATGTGGGTTGATACACAATTGTACAAATTAACACAGTTACAGTGGTTGTTTCTAGATGGTATCCATCCTATTTTATTATTGCCTGTGCCATATCAGTAATTAAATACTTTGTATATTAGTGAAGTTAGTAGGAAACAGAGACCATAAAAATGTGACCTTGGGAATTTGAAACAAAGAAGCTTTTTGAAATGAAAAACCCAATTACCCAAATTAAAACATAATACACAGGTTTAGTAGCAGATTAGAAACAGATGAAGAGAACATTAGTGACCTGAAAGATAAAACAGAATACAATAGCCATAGTGCAGCACAGAGTGATTACAAACATGGAAGACAGTTAAGAAAGGATTCTATACTTTCTAGGATAGCCACTAAGAAATTAGAAGCAGTAAATGATTTTCACACAAGTAGAAGGGGAAGGCTGGAATGTAAAAAACATTTAAAGTAGTATTTTTAACAAATGGTGCTTGAACAACTAGATATCCACATGTAAAAAAGTACATCTAGACATAGACCACAAACCTCACAAAAATTAACTGAAAATGGATTATAACCTAAATATAAACCCCCAAACTATAAAACTCTTAGAAGATAACATAGGAGAAAATCTAGGTTAACTTGGGTTTGGCAATGGCTTTTTAGACACAATGCCAAAATCCTATCTATGAAAGAAAAAATTGGTAAGTTGAACTTCATTAAAATTAAAAACTGCTCTGTGAAAGACATCATTAAAATAATAAAAGATAAAAGCCACACATTGGGAAAAAATATTTGCAGAACACATATCTAATAAAGGACTGATATTCAACATGTATGAAGAATTCTTCAAACTCAACAATAAGAAAACAAACAACCCAAAGTATAAAATGGGCAAAAAAAACACTTCACTAAATAAAATATACATATGGAAAATAAATATATGAAAAGATGCTTAATATCATGTCATTAGGGTTTTGCAAATTAAAACAGCAATGAGACACCACTACACATCTAAAATATCTAAAATTCAAAACACTTTAACAACATGTAATGCTGGCAAGGATGTGGTGCAACAGGAACTCTCATTCATCACTGGTGGGAATGAAAAATGGTATAGCCACCTTGGAAGACACTTTGGCAGTTTCCTACAAAACTAAACATACTCTTGCTATACAATCCAGCAGCTGCACCTTTGGTATTTACTTGAATGTGTCAAAACTTTATGTCTACACAAAAATCCACACAAAGATATTTGCAGTAGCTTTATTCATAATTGCCAAAATTTGGAAGCAACCAAGATGTTCTTCCATAAGTGAGTGTATAAACTAATATATCCAGATAATGGGATATTATTCAGCAATAAAAAATGAACTACCAACTCATAAAAAGACATGAAGGAACCTTAAATTCATATTGCTAAATGAAAGAAAGCTATGTGAAAAGGCTACATACTACACAATTCCAATTATGTGACATTCTGGAAAAGGCAAAACTATGGAGACAGTAAAATAAAAATATCAGTGGTTGCCACTAGTTCAGTGAGAGGGAGGAAGGGATGAATATGTGAACCACAAGGAGTTGAAACTATTCTGTATGGTATAATGGTAGACACGTTTTTATACATTCATCAAACCACATATCATGTACAACACAAAGACTAATCCCTAAAGACTTTAGTTAAAAATAACATATCAATTTTGACTTATCAATTCTAACACATATAGCACACTAATGCAAGATGTTAATAACAGGGGAAATTGAACATGTGAAGAATGGTGAGGGGTATTATCTCTATACTTCCTACTCAATTTTTCTGTAAACCTAAAACTGATCTAACAAGTAAAGTCTATTATTTAAAAACACTGATCCCAAAGAAGGCAACAGAGGAGAGTAAAACAGGATAGAAATGATAAATAGAAGCCAGGTGTGGTGGCTCACGCCTGTAATCTCAGCACTTTGGGAGACTGAGGCAGTCAGATTACCTGAGGTCAGGAGTTTGAAACCAGTCTGGCCAACATGGTGAAACCCAGTTTCTACTAAAAATACAAAAATTAGCTGGGTGTGGTGGCACACACCTGTGATCCCAGATACTCGGGAGGCTGAGGCATGATAATCACTTGAACATTAAAGGTGGAGGTTGCAGTGAGCAGAGATTGCAACACTGTACTCCAGCCTGAGTATAGAGTGAGACTCTGTCTCAAAAAAAAAAAAAAAAAAAAAAAAAAGAAAGAAAGCATAAAGTTATAGATTTAAACTCAAATATACCTATTATATTAAATGTGTAAACACGAAATGCACTAGTTAAAAAACAAAAATGGTCACACTGGATTAAAAATATTTAATTACATGTTCTTTAGAAGTGGCACACCTAAAATATAAATATATTAAAAGTTCAAAGTAAAGGGATTAGGGAAGATCTATCTGGAAAATATTAACCGAAGTGTGGATATATTAATATCAGACAGAAATGACTTTAAGGCAGAAAATAATACTAGATATAAAGAAGATCACTTCATAACAATAAAACTTCTACAAACAAATATATTACAGTACTAATTTCGTATGTATAAATAGTATGGCCTAAAATATATAAAGCGAAAATAATAAAATTAAAGAAATAGATAAATGCAAACCATAAAGGGACATTCTAGCGCCTCAACTCAATAAGTGATACAGTACACAAAATATGAGTTTTGATACAGAAGATTCAAACAAAATGAACAATCTTAAATTTATACATGTGTGTATACAGGTGGTCTCTGTCTTGTGATTTTTTTGACCTTATCATGGGTTTATCAGGATGTAACCAAATTGTAAGTCTGGGAGCTCCTTATAACTTATGATGGTGTTATGGTTTCTACTAAATGCATGCTGCTTTTCCATCATTATAAAATCAAAATATCATTAAGTCAAACCATCACAAGTTGTAGATGCCTGCTATTTTGCCAGAATTAACAGCATTTTTGCCTTAAATATTTTCAACTTAAAATAAATTTATTGGGATGTAACTCCATCGTAAGTCAAGGAACAGCTGTACATATATGTACATACACAGTGCCTAAAAACTGGAGAAAACACATTTCTTTCAAGCACACAAAATATTTACAAAAAAGTGATCATTTACCTAACCATTAAGCAAATCTCAACTTATTTCAATCTAAAATCAATGACAATCTTATAATTAAGCTAGAAATCAATTACTTTATAATGGCTTTAAAAATGGCAATAAAATCTCCATATGTTTCAAAAGTCAGAAATAATATTTTTACATTATTCATGAGTCAAAGAAAAAACCACAAGGGAAATTGGAAAACATTTTGAATTGTATAATAAAAATACTAAATGTGTCAGTTTTCCAGAGAACACTTTATTAAGTCTCTGTGTTGGTATCTCCAGATTGGATGAAGTAGTCACTTTTCCTAGGCTTCACGAACTGTCCTTGTACAGGAAAAGATCCCCACCAATGAGCCCAGTCAGAGGTTCTGGGGGCCTCTCAAACCTTCATGCTAGTCCAGCCTGCTTGATTTGTTCTTTTCAGCCCCCAGCCATGTAAGGTATGCCTCGCATCAGTACACTGGGACAAGTGATTCTGAAGCCAGTTCCATGGCTGATTCCCAGCAAAGTTGGGCTGTTGGACACTTTGTCCAACTCTTTCTCTCCCCCAGGGAGAAGCTGAGAGCTAAAGATTTTTGTCTACTGCTCTGTGCTGAACTTAGGTTAGAGGGGCGTCTATGGTGACTGCTAGCTAAAAACTCCACCTCTGCACAGGTGCAGTGGCTCAAACCTGTAATCCCAGCACTTTGGGAGGCCAAGGGCAGGTGGATCACTTGAGGTCAGCAGTTTGAGAACACCCTGGCCAACATGGTAAAACTCTGTCTCTACTAATACAAAAATTAGCTGGGCGTTGTGGTGTGTGCCTATAGTCCTGGCTATTCAGGAGGCTGAGGCAAGAGAATTGCTTGAGCCCAGGAGGTGGAGGTTTCAGTGAGCTGAGACTGTGCCACTGCTCTCCAGCCTGGGTGACACAGCAAAACTCTGTTTCAAAAAAAGAAAA